GTTTGGAAAGCGCTGTGAGACAACTGTTGTTGTGATGTGGCGCTATAAAAATAAAATTGAATTGAATTGAATTGAATCATATTTGACTAGACAGTACTTTCGAATAATTGTAAGTCAATTAGATCTTCCTAAATGTACCGTGCAAGATTTTGTGTTGGAAACAAGTCCAATAACTGTCTGCCTTGGATATTTCGGTTATTCGTTTTCACAAGCGACCATCACTGTCTCTCAGAGGCATCTTATCACCTTTAACCTCATTGTTATGCTCTCTGGCCATGACTTCAGTTTTTAGGGCTAGGCCTCATAGTCCTTATCAGTGTTCTGTTCAACTACAGCAGCTAGCCATGAAATCCACATTTATCTGTTACGTGCTCTGGAGAAAGTGGAGACGAAAACAGGAATTTGGATGCACAATTCACTTGTAATTAGTGGACACAGACACTATTCCAAATAATTGTCAATCTGCTGAATAGGAAACAGGCTTAGAAGTTAGCTAGACTTTGTATTCACGCATACAGGATCTGTAGTTTTTTTCCAGGGTATGAAAAGCTACTTCCAACACTTTCCCCCTAACATGATCCTTTTTCGGTCTTTCGCCAGTTCTCCTGGACCCTCCTGCAAACGTAACCGTGAGCAAGATGGGTCATAAAGGCCAGCTGAATGTTAGCTGGGTGCCCCCTTCTCTCAAGTACATGGACGACAGCATGATATATGAAGTCATCTACGCTCCAGCAGATGATAGCCGGGGACAGGTATGGCTTTCATGCTACTGGCCTCACCAGCCTTATGGCGGACCTTAACTTCTAATACCAGGGGGAGGGTTCACCTGGGCTGACCATCGAGTGGATCTTCTCAACAGGTGGAGGTGGCGCGAGCCTGTTCTGAGCTGATTCTGATAGGTCTCCAGGGGGGAACAAAGTACAGGGTGCAAGTCCGTGTCAAGCTGGACGGTATAACCTACAATGGCTTTTGGAGTGCCTGGAGTGACCCTGTGTTTGTGGAAACTCTTCCAGCAGGTGAATTCTCGTCCATTGTACATGCAAAATTGTGCCACCCTGCATTGCAAGGAGCACCAGAGTATCGTGAAAAGGATATTCCACATATTCTACTGTGTTCATAGATCTAAAATACACTCTCTCTGTACCTTCTTCAGAACTGGACCCACTGATTGTGTCCCTGACTATCGTAATCTCTTTCGTCCTCATTGTGCTGCTCCTTATCATACTCCTGTCCCATCACAGGTCAGTGGATCAGATATCCAGATGCATGTATTATCTATCCATGTTTCATTTGTTTGTTTTGCAAAACTCGAAATGGGCATATTCAAAAAATCATTATTCTCGTGTTTATTTTTTGTTTTCAGGTTCCTTATAAAAAAGATTTGGCCAATCATTCCAACTCCTGATAGCAAATTCCAAGGTCTTTTTTCTGTTTATGGGGGGGACTTTGAGGTAAGAGCCAGACAACACATCTTCAAGCCAGCTAGCATTTGTGAGGCTTTATGCATACAGCTGCTTCTAGCTAAATTCCTTGCTTAAATTGTTCTCATAATCCTTCGTGTTTCCGTACAGAGGTGGTTAGGGCAGACCAGTGGAGGCTTGTGGTTGGCTCCGGCATTCATCTACTCTGAGGAATACCCTTCTCCCCTGGAAGTGCTCTCAGAACTCAGCCGTTGCCCCTCTCTGACCTCTCCACCTCTTCCACCCAAGGCCTCTAAAGTGTTGACCGCAGTCAGAAATGAGGGCAAGAATAACGGAGAGTTGTTAAATAGGGGAGACTCGGCTCTGACAGATGAGTGGAAAGGCCTGCCTCGCGACCACTGGATGATGGATCACTTCCGGATGTTCCAGCAGCACCCTGTCCCGTGCTCCCAGTCTTCTCTTTTGGAATCCCAGGACACTTACGTCGCACTCAACCACTACAGCGAAGATGAGCACATGGATGACACTCTGGAGGAGGCCTCACCCTTAGAAGTGTTTTTTGCCTCTAAAAAGACACCTTTGGGTGAATCACACTCTGACCTGGGGTCCGTTCAGCAGAGCTCTGGGTCAGGCAATCTTTCATCCCAGTCCAGCTTCGAATACCCAAACCAAGTCTGGACATCTAAAGGCCCAGGGTATACCTACATGGCCGTGGCTGACTCTGGGGTCTCTATGGATTATAGCCCAATGAGCAGGGCTGACGACATAGGAAAAGTGGTTGTCTACGCCAATGAGTACAAAAACGACATCCCTGCTCATAGAAGACCCTTCCTACTGAGGCAGTACCCGGTCCACGATGAAGGATGAGAGGCAGTCAAACTGGACAGGCTGGACAAGGTAGAAGCTTTATGCAGATGTGTTGAAGCTATTGAATCTCCACCCAGGCTACAAAGCCCGCCTTCTACTGTTAAGAAAAAAGCGAACGAGCTAACATACCAAAGATGAAGCTAAAGGACTCTAAGAAAAGACTTTGCTGGATGTTTCTGAGGACACAAACCAGGAATTGTAAGCTGTGATTTTCACAGAATACTGATATTCAGCAGCCTCATTGCTCATCCAAGAGTATTTTATCCTGCATTTTAGGCTAGTTGTCAATCTGAGTGGTGTGAACAAACCCTTAGAGTGTTTTTTACAGTGATGTATTCAAATTTGAGCCAACTATGCTAACGTTTTAGCTTAACTGACAAATTGGTAATGTAGGTCAAATTACACAACAGACACCCGAAATTAAAACTGTTAATAGTACAGGAAAATGCTTTTTTCACTTTTCCTATTTTTTCATATTGTCAGCCAATTCTATTACAAGACTGAAAAAAACTTTTCACAACTTCTCTTACTTTTGATCTAAAACTTAACATAGAGTAGCTTAGCATATTTCTCAAACATCTACATGTCCGTCAAACAAGAATTAAAAGCATACACAATCATGCTAGCAGAAGTGCGTTTAGTCAACATCGACGTCAACCCTATGGCAACGCTAATGTTTGTGAGGTTACTTGCCTAAATAGCCTGTTAGCACTTGAATACTGTGCTTAGATAAAAGTGCTCAATGGCTAGCACTTCTATGTTTTTTGCTGTTAAAATCTAAAGCTGGTCCAATGAAAATACTATTAATTTTAAAAACATAACAAAGTACTATGTCTTTTTTATAATAATGCCAGAATTAAAATCCATATGGATGTAAATCCATAACTGGCGAGAAACCCTCACCAAATGCAACTCTAAAACTAAATTTTAAAGTATTTGCAACTGCATGTATTTGTTTTAAGAATTTATTTTATTAACTGGGGATGGACAAATTTAGTGTTCCAATACCATGGTACAGGCTGAAAGTATGTAACCTACAGGTGGACGTACTCACTGTTTTTAGTCGTCATGGGGTTTGTTGACTAGCCAAATGTAAAATATCAACCATTTTATTCCATTATACCTATCATTACACACAGACACACACACCCTACAATAGTCATGTCAATGTCAGTTTTAATTCTGAATGTACACTGTATGTGTAAATAATGTAAAGTTCTTTTAAATTTGTTGTCACACTTGTGTTAGAGTTTAGTCAAAGTTTGTATTAATTTTTATCACAGGATTATTGTTGAGTCAAATTGAAATAGTATTACTGTAGGCTGTGCTGCAAGGCTTTAAGGCAATGTCTGTTCTCTGGTTAAGTAAAGGGCTTTTTTTGTGTGGAGTTTCCATGTTCTCCCCGTGTATGTGTGGGTCCTCTCTGGGTACTCTTGCTTCCCTCCACCATCCAAAAACATGCATGTTAAGACCATTGGTTACTTTAAATTTCCCATAGGGGAGAGTGTAAGTGTGTTTGCTTGTATGTCTTGTTCGTCTCATTGGGGTCCTGAGGTGAACTGGGGACCTGTCCAGGGTGTACCCTGACTTTCTTCCACGGACACCCTACAAGGAAAACGCGGTATAGAAGATGGGTGAATGATGTTTAAGTGCATTTGGTTTTCTCCTGAGGTGACACTGCCACCTAGAGTACAACATGGATCACATTTCTATGAAAGGTTTACCAGATCTTCTTTCTTTTTTTTTTTACCCATAAGTACAAAGATGCAACGAACAATTTGAACTTAAATGTATCTTTTGTCAGAACTTTGTCCTTTGGTGATGGTACTTGTTTTTTGGGTTTAAAAAAAATCTGTGATCTGATCTGAAAAAGATTTTTTCTAAAAAGAATATTTTTAGAAAGAAATGCGTCTGGGTTCTTATGCGTTAAATCACACTGAGTGGAGGCTTTGCTTTTTTCTGCTTTTATGGTGTGGGAAAAATCTGATCTGTTGACATTGTAAATACGAGTGTATTCATATATAGTGTATTCATATATAAGTTTTTCTTAAGCAAAACGTGATACATTATTGAAAGAAATATCTTTTATCAAAAACAACTTTCTTTCTGTCTTTTGTAGTTCATAATATTCTTTTCCTTTTTACATAGACATACTTTATGTACATCAACAATATATTTTTATATCTTTCTACATATTCAAATGTTATCTTTGTCATGCTGAAATAATGACTACCTCCTCGCTGAAATGAACTTTTCAATTTTGTATTTCTTGAAACTTATACAATAAAAAAACAAAGAGTACCATTTTCATGTTCCTCATTCCATCAAATATATTGTATAAGTATTGTTGATATATTCTAAAAAAACAAGTGGGTCATTTTGTCTTCATCACGGTGAAGACAGCTTTGGTTCAACAGCCAATAAGCCTTTTAAAACTGGTGATCATCAGTTTATTTCACTATATGCTTGCAGAATACATTAATGATGGCTGCAGGATGAATGCACATGTAGATTTCCGTGTTCCTTTGCTCAATTTATCCACACACACATTTAGACCTCCTCAGACTTTTAAACAAGCTGAAAAATAGAAGAGGGGAATTAGCTTAACAATTTAGTCTCGTAATACAGTATACTGTTTATGCTTTTTAGCTCCCATTTCCTTCAGAGTAGTGTCAAAAACACTATTTGTCTTTGTTAATGAGCACCACACCAACCGTGTTGGACATTGTTATTCAGTTAATGACAATCAATGGAAATACAAGCTTTTATTCACACGGGGATCACGGCTTTACACCATGTTACTTGTAAATCCATCTCATTACATGTTTTACATTCACAACTGATGTTACAATCTTAAAGAATAACTGAACAAGGTTTTTTGTCATAAAGCACTGAAACAGAAGATGTAGGAGTAATCGTCAACAGCCAATGGAGTTTAAGTTGAAGCCAACTTGAACTCCATCGAGCTATCAGGAAAAATAAAGAGCTGCCACTCTTGTGTTCCATGTGTCTTTACTTCTTTTTCCGAGAAGAACTCAGTGGCTCCTCTCTCAGAAAGGTAAATGTTCCAGGCCTCCTCCGCGCCGGCCCCTGTAGCTGCGTAGCCTCTGTCCTGGTCCAGCGTGCAGCGGGCCTGAAAGTAGCGGTCGAGGACGTCCAGGGTGGGATCCGTGGCCGAGGAATCCCCGCCGTCTTGCCCGCCGCCGCCGTCGGCGTCCGACAGGAAGGAGGCGATGAGGCGGCAGGGGGCTGAGCCGGAGCCCCCACAACTGAGAAAAGCTGAGGTGTCGCAGAGCAGTGCGGCCAGGCGCGCGGCGCCGGACGGCTGCTGCCCCCACTGGAAGCCGCCATAGGCGCCACTGTGGGCGCCAGCCGCAGGGCCACGCAGGAAGTCCTCCAGTCTGTCGACGATGATGAGGGAGGGGGGCGTGGGCGACTCGTGCAGGCCGGCGACATGCTGAAGCAGCTCTTCAAATGTCCGAGGATAGGTGAATGTGATTTTCTCCAGAAAAATAAAAGAGGAAATCAGATTTTAGTGCTAATAAACTAAAGTTCTCCGTGTGAATGAAAACATCAGGAGTCCAGTTCTCGCTGTAATAAGTCATAAAGTTATCTGCTATTGTAAAACACGCAGTAAAGGGGGGAAAAAAGTAAGTGTTTTTTTGGTATTATGGATCAAAACATGACCCAAAACATGACCCAAAAAATGGTAAAGACCTTCTCTTGCCAAGTCTAAAAATGAGCCAAATACAAATTCAGACAAACGACGCACCTTGTGTAACAGTGACATCATTCACTGAACAAAGAATCAAGCGGCGTCCACCCAAACAAAACTTTTGTCCACCGTCTTTACAATGTTGCTTCAGTTTATTGAAGGTTGCAGTATTTATTTATTCAGCACAGTTCACGTAACGTCCCATTGGGTTTTAGAAAAATTAGTTATGCCGGGTCTGGGGTCTAAACTTTGATTGGTATTTCATTCTTTTCTCTTTCAGTTATTCTGTTGTACATTTCCTGCTGCTTTTGGGATCCTTATCCAGTTAATAACCTCATTTCAGCCCGACTATAGCTGTCAGGCGGTTGTCCTCAGATTTGTCACCTTTCCACAACATGGTACAACACAGTTTGTAAAGTGCTGCTCGCTGTTTTGTCACCTTTATTGTAGGTAGCACTACATAACTATCTTTAAGTACCACCTCAGCCAGTGCTCAAAATGAGACTTAGTTTTGTTTGGTCAGAGAAAATGAGTATGTTAATAATAATTTAGTTAAGGAAATTTCATCAGAGGCACCTGACTGCAACTTACCCTATTTATATGTGTAAAAAAAAAAAAAAGCAAGGGCACACTACTTGTGCAGTGTTGCTGTGAACTATTTCCACCTTAAGACCTGTTCCAGGTCATCTTTATTTTGGCCTAGAACCTTTAAATTGAACGACAACCTACTTTGCCTTTAAACATGGCTGTGTGTCACTTAACAAGGGGTTAACAATAATCTATGTTTGGTCACAATCGGGGCTCAGCGGGATGGGAACATGTGTTTTATGAACAGGTAGTCAGATTCTAAATAAAGCATCGGGTATCAAATAAGCTGTTTGATATTTACGATTAGCTCAACTGTCATTGGTTCAGACAGCTTTATCAATCGGGAAGTAATGTGTATGAGGGAGCTCTACCTTTAGGCTTTCTGGGCTCAGACTGGGAACACATCTCTGCAGTGACACCGGAAGGCTCTTGATTTGTGTTTGGGCGAAGAAGGCCACTCTGATCCCCATCTCTGAGGCGGCGGTCAGGGCCGACAGCAGCAGCAACGAGCGGCTGACCCGCCGGTCTCCGACCGTCAACACGCTGCGGGGCGCCGGCGGTGGAGGACCGGCGGGGGAGTCCTTCCCCTGACAGGTCCGCGACCCGAAAGTCCTAAAAGCGAGTGTTAAAATGTCTGCCATGGCTGACACGGCGAGAACACCTTTAATAAAAGCGTCTAAGAATTGGGCAGAATCTTAACTTTTCCCGCGTCTGTTTACGAGTGGCACAGCAGTGTTCGCGCCGCCGTGGTCCGGCTGGAAAAAAGAAAAGACTGTAAGGTTCCGCCCCCGACCTGAGCCCGTTTTCATCGCGCTGTATCGGTCAATTTAATATTATGTGGTGCAACTAGAAGTTTTACCCTACTTGCGATTGGCAGACAAACTTTTTATGTGGCAGAGACATAAAGATAATGGAACCTTGTGTTGCTTTCCTGTAGACGTTGACGCAATGTCCGGAACGCTGGTTAATAACATCAGCTGTTAATGCCAAGATGGCGCACCGCCCGGCGGACGGTTGCTTGGTCGCTGACCAAACGGTGGACCAGGGAGTTCTGAGGCGTTGCAGGGGGCGACCCAGACTCACGGACTCCGACCGAGCCCAGAGACGCCTCGAATCCCGCAAGAAGTACGACGTTCGGAGGGTTTACCTTGGAGAATCCCACAAGCTGTGGAGCGAGCTCCGCAGACGGACCAGCCTGAGTGATGCCGGGCTGGCGGAGTACCTCATCCTGCTCAACTCCACCTACGGAGACCAATACCAGCAAAAACACTGCGGGTAGGAAAAAAAGATGACTCTATTTCATTTAAGAAAGCGCAGTCTAAAAAAAAGTGAGTGTTTAACTTCCACCGAGATGCTTTAATAGCGACTAGCTACTCTATACTCCAATGGACACTGCATATTTAAGTAGTTTTATTAAAAATGTTGTTGTTTCCTCCCCTTTTTCGTGCTTTGAAGGAAGAAGACAGTGCCAGAGCTCTCAGAAAAACAAAAAAGAGGTATGTGCTACCTTTTAAGACTTGTATAAGAACATGTGTATCTAGTGGGAAGGTGGTCTAGCTTTTTCTTTTTTTGAATACATACAAAGAACAAATAGGATGCAAGCAGCCTTGCAGTCAATTAAATTCTTTTTTCTTTGTTATTGTTGGAAAAAAGGATTATTAAAAATGTTTTTTTGTGTGCACTAGATAACTTTTAAAAAGCTAAATAAATTATTATTATAATCTGAATTTTGATTCAGTAATCAGGATTAGAATTAGCAAATACTCTATTAATCTCCAGGAGGAACAAGTTTAATGGACAAAACTCTACATTTAAAAATTACGCTTAGTTTTGTGTTTTTGAGCAGGTTTACCAGATACTTTTGTTTTTTCTTTTCTTTTCAAACGACTAATATAATGTTTGACCAGCTCTTGGCTAGGCTTAGTTTGTTTCTATATTATATTTTAATCTTACGGGCACAGACTTAACTTTTCTAAAGTCATTTAAAAAATATTTATCAGCCTGTTTTAAATGAACAACCATCTGAATGTGTGACAGTCCATATTGCCCATAGGAGTGAAGGTGAGTGTGGTTGTTTGTCTCTGTGTTGCCCTGCGATTGACTGGTGACCTGTCCAGGGTGTGTCCTGCCTGTTGCCCGTTGTCAGCTGGGATGGACTCTGCTGGGGATAGGCGGTATTGAAATGGATAACGCTAGTAAGAAAACTGCCCCACGCAAAAGCTGGTTTCTCATGGTGTGGGGCTGCATCGGTAGTACTGGTGGTAGTACTGATTTAATGGTGTATTTTCGGATTTTAGAGACGTCTGCTATTATCAAGCTATTCTCAGAAGTTCTGTGGTTATTTCAACAAAACTGTGCCCCATATAAAATGCGGTTGACAGGATTTTTAAACAAGCCAATGTCAAGTTGTCTTTAAAACCTATCACTTTAAAATTGGTTTGAGCTGTTTATACAATTCCAAAGAATTATGGAGGCGTTTTCTCCCCCCCTAATCACTAATCGGCTGAATATCACTCTCACTCTCTCTCAGGCAGGAAGCAGAGTGTGTCTAGCCTCCAGAGTCTTGTGTGTTGGTACCAGGAGCACGCTCGCTCCTGCCCCCACGAGCCCCAGCTCAGAGCCCTGGAGCCCCAGACCGACTTCTCCACCGCTGCCATCTGGCAATGCCACTCGGATCACTCCTTTGTGCAGTACCTCTACTCGCCTCTGAGGGGAGACAGTGATTCAGAGCAGGAGGAGTGCTCGAACGTGGACAGCGACGGAGAGATGGCGGCCAGTAAAGATGCGCAGCTGTCCAAAGGCCCTGTGAGCAGGCAGAGAAGAAAGGAGTGTCATAGAAAGTTCACAGGTGCAGTGCCACATCTGAATAGCTTCATACTTTTGTTCGATCGCTAACTGCCAAAACTTAAATTCCTTTTATTATCGTTTCCCTTGACGTTTCAGACGTCGGAGAAGATGTTTCTGAGGAGCAGAGTTCGACCACGAGCCAGACGGAAGAAACCGGAGCAGCAAACCACCACCCCGTCACGGCTCTGACGGGACGGCCCGATTGGGAGGTGGACATGGTGCCGCAGCAGGGCTCCTTCGCGGAGGAGCTGGACTCCATGCCTGCGGAGGAAGAGGAGGACGCCACCGAGGATCTGAGGCGAGGGAAGGACGGGAGGGAAAGAGAAGCGGAGGCAGTCGGAGAAGAAGAAGAGGAAACCAGGTCTGCCGGGCACGATTACCAGTGCATCACCGCATCCTTGGCTGAACTGGAGAAGGTGGGGGAGCTTCCAGTCCCGCCGCCCATGCAGGTACACGAACAGACCGAGCTGTTTGACCATCAAGCTCTGCAGTCGGTGGTGACGGGCTGCGAGATTCCCGACCAGAAGGTGGCTCTGGAGGCCTCGCAGGTGATGATGGAGGACTGGAGACACGAAGAGCCTAAACGATGTTTTTTTGGTCGTCGTCGTTATGTTGTTTTTCTCTTCTTTTCTCCCAGCTGATCATCATCTCCGCTCCCAGCTACGAGGCGCTGGCGTCAGAGGAAATCCAGCTCAACGTGGCCAGTGGAAATGTGGAGGAAGTCTCCTGCTCCGTCATAGGGACGGGCACCTACAGCCAGGTGTGCACATTGGATTC